TTTGGGTTGTGTTTGTGCTGCCGGGGCTGTCAAGGGGTTCTGGAAGAGTTCAGGGTTCAGGCTGATGAGGTTTGGTAGAGTTTTATCATGGTTCTCTCGGCTTGAATAGGGTTCTTTTTTGGAGGTTTTAGGTTTGGATTTTGTCGGTTTTGCTTATGGCCTGGGCCGACAGCGCTTTAGGGGGGCTTTGGGGGTCTTTGCGGTTGGGAGCTTTGAGATTTAGGGATTCAGGGGCTTGAAGAAGTTTGCGCGGCCGTTTTACTTTGCACCATCACCACACCCTCCCGCAATCCTCATACAGCCATTGTGAAGCTGCAACGAGCCGTCAAAGGCTCCCCTGCACGGGCCCCCAAGACGGTTTCATGGTCTTTGGGATTTAAGGGCTTCGGGCTTCTGGGGCTTTAGGTTATGGGGCTGTGGGTTGGAGGTGTAGCTGTCCGCGTCTATCAGGTACGGTAGATAGATATATAGGTAGACAGCTAAATAGATAGGTAGATAGACAGCCAGATAGGCAGATAGTTAGATAGATAAGCAACACCGCAGACTTACAGACAGATCGATGGATGCATGGACGGATGGATGGATGGATGCATGGAGGATGGATGGATGGAGGATGGAGAGGTGCATAGGTAGATAGGCAAACAGGCAGAGCTGCAGATAGAGTTTTCTCTAGCTAGATAACTGGCCAGCTCGACGCGCAGATATGCAAGCATGCGCATGCACCCTTGTGTGTGTGTGTGGGCGCATCAGCAAGACGCTGAGTATGAGAACATGCATTCAACGACGTAGACGCACAGATATACCTTATACCTCAACCCTAAATACCAAGATGTAAAAGTGTCTCTACCATGTACTAAATCGCCAAAGCCTGAACTTCTAAACCATGTCATAGCAGCGCAGTAGTAGTAATCGCAGTAGTAACAATATAAATACAAACAGTAGTTGCATGTTTAACAACAGCAATAGCAGCAACATCAACAATAACAGCGGAAATAACAACAGTAATATCAATAGCAACAGGAATAACATAATAATGGCCGTTGTTGCAATACCAACGATAATAAGACCAAAGGCAACAACAGTAGTAACACTAGCACCAATAATGAATAGCAATAATAGCAAGAATGTCAATAATGACAGTAACAACAATAGCAATAATGACAAAAATAACAACAATAGCTATAATATATTGCAATACTAAAACTAGTAACAATACTGACAATACTCACCATACCAGCAGCAATACCAATAACATGAGTGTCATCGCTATTGTTATTACTATCAATGAAGATATCTTTCATACTACTGATTAGAAGATTGACCCAGCCTAAACCCTAAACCTTAAACCCTAAACCCAACGCACCGGATCGCTTCAGGCTGGCTTCTGCGCACATGGCAGAGATGTCAGCAAGCTCTGGCGGAGAAGAGGCTGACTCCTACTTGGAGGTTCATGCCTAGTTATAAGTAGGGTTATAAGTCCCCTAATATGAGTTATAACTACAGTTGCCCTACTTATAACCCCACTTATAACTGCACATGAACCTCCAGAATTCGGGTTTAGGGTTTCGGCATTAGGGTTACTGTAAGAACTACGAGTAGGGTCAAGGGAGTACGGTTAGGGTTTAGGGCCTAAGCCCTAAACCAAACCTTTTTGTGCAGAGCACCAGGAAGCTGATTAGAGACTCCTTGGTTGTTGTTAGGGCTTTGGCTTTGAATCTCCCTAATATATGGGTGGTTGTCCCTTTTGGGGTCCCTATCATAATACGGCACCTAATATTAAAGGTACCCAAACAAGGGACCCTAACCTAACTTTGACAACTACCCATATGGGTCGGAAAACCCGGATGCTTACTAAGGCACCCGACCCTCCAAGTGCAGCCTTAGTTTTCCCTTTGAAGTCTCCATCCCAAACCCCAAACCCAGAACGCCGCAACACAAACCCTCAACCTTTGCGGTGGGAGCTTCAGAAATCCGGTAGTCAAGGTGGAGATTCCATTTTTTGGCATGATTAATCGACACCCGAAACCCACACCACAAGCCCTATTCAGAGAAGCACCGAAGCCATAAACCCTTAAACCCAAACCCTTAGACCCTAAACTCTACATGGGTGGTTGCCAAAATTATTGTCCCTTTTTGGGTCCCCATTTTAATACGGCACCTATTATTTAGGGTACCCCAGAAAGGGACCTTAATTCTGACAACCACCCAAATGTCTGGCTCCTTGCAGGAGGAGGGAGAGGATCGCCAGGTCCGTGCGGGCGCCCGCTTCTCAGTTGAGGGTTCTTGCTGCATTTGCTTGCTTTTGGGGTGAGGGTTAGGGATTTAGGGTTTGGGGTGGCCTTAGGGTTCGGGTTCAGGGTTTAGGTCTTGGGGCTTGGGGTTCAGGGGTCTAGAGTTTATGGTTAAAGTTAAGGATTTAGGGGTTTGGGGTTTCGGTTTAGGTGTAGGTCTTAGGGATTTAGGGTTTTGGGGTTTAGGGTGTGCGGATTTGGGATATTGGGTTTGGGATTTTTCGGTTTATGTAGGGGTTCCTGCATGTGACTCTCAGGAGTTATGGGTTTGTTGTTGGGGGTTCTGGGCGTTTATCGTTTCAGGCTGTTCGGTTAGTATAGGATTAGTTAAGCCTAAAACAGAAGACCATAGAAGACCCCCTAAACCCTAAACCCTAAACTCTAAACCCTAAACCCTAAGGCCTAAAGCCGAAACCCTGAACCCTAAACCCTAAACCCGACAAGATCAAGGCCAGATTTAGGGACTAGCTGGGACGGGTTCTTTCGGTTTTTAGGTGGTTCCAACACCAGAGACGCCTTAAGCGGTTCAGGGCTTAGGGCCCAAAGCTCCAGGGGCAATCGGGATCCTAAAGAGATCTTTGTTGTTTGCAGGCATTTTCTGAGCAGGTTTAGGCAGCAGGCATGCAGCATACGATACTCGGGCTTGGGGCCCAGCGTTTAGAATTAGAGATTTGTCATACCTCGATTTAGCGGCGTATGGTTTTGACAAATTACAACAGGATGATGGACAACCGTTCGAGGATGTGGTTCAATGCATGTAGGATCGAATCAGGCGTTCGGGCTGTTTTATGTTTTGACTTCCCGGGGCAACCAGCATGCAAAAGCCCGTACAGCCTCCCGAACCTACACCCTACAGCCCCACATTCAGGATGCCAAGACCACGGGTATCTGCTTTGGAAAGCCGCAAGTGTAGTATTGAAGATTGATGAAGTAGAAGTGCCACTCCTTACGGCTCCTTATGAAAGTTATGCCCGACTAGTTAGGAAGGCCGTCGGATTAAATGTCGGATTACACCCTTTTCGAGCTTGTTTTGATTCAGGGTTTAGGGTTTAGGATTTAGGGGTTTAGGATTTAGGGGTTTAGGTTTAGGCGTTCGCTGTTTACTGCACTTGTAGCATAACTGAGGTCACAGGTCCATATATGCAGCATTCTACCAGTTTAGGATCTGTATTGGGGTCCCATTTATGAAATTCCCGTAGAGTGCTCAAGCTTAAGGACTCCTGCCTGACGCCGGGGCTCAAAGGATAGTAGGACTTGGGGTTTTGATTTTCTTCCAAGACTAAGACACCGCAAAAGTTCAGCTTTTGGCCGCAACGACTACAACCACAAACACCTTGAACCCTAAACCCTAAACCCTCAAACCATAAACCCTAAACCTTGAGCCCTTGGCCCGAAGCCCCCAAAGCCACGAAACCTCAAACTCCCGAACCTCCAAAGCCCAAGCCCAGGGATGAACAAAACAAGCACAGTTTTCATTAACATAGGGGCCTTAATAATCGGAAAAGTCATAAAAAGGAACCCCCCCCCCGAACATAGTGTAGGTAATTCTTACTGCCTCTATAGTATGAGTTCTGCGGAGTGCATGCTTGTAACAGACAGTACCTGGGCACCACATGCTGGGTGAAAAGGTTTCATAGGTCTTGACAGCCGTCCCTGAATAGAGAAACCAATACCCAAGCCAGCAGAAGCCTTACACCCCTATGAAACCTCTCCCAAGAACCCTTATATAGATACTCCCCCTAAACCCCTAAACCCCTACACCCTAAACTCTAGGCCCTAAACCCTAAACCCTGAACCCTAAACACTAAACCCTAAACCCCCACCAGCAAAATGCAAAGCAGGCCACCAGCGGCCCTACTTCGGAGTTTGTCCTGCGCGACCGCCGGGTCGATTGGACTGCTTTAGGGGCTTTAGGGTTCCTTTAAAGGGGTCTATAAGGGTCCCTTTAAAGGGATCTATAAGGGCTCCTTTAAAGGGGTCTATAAGGGTCCCTTGAAAGGGATCTATAAGGGTTTAGGGGCCTACACTTCTACAAAATACCGATAGTATTCCTTCCAGTTCCTTCATCTAGCTGTGCTATAATATTCCACAAGAGCCCATTGCAGTTGCTAAGGCCCCCGGTTCAGTTTTTCACATAGTTTAGATAGTTGGGTTTTGGGGTTTATGTTGTAGTCTTTGTGGGGATTTGGTTTCGGAGTTAGGAGGTGTTTTGATGTTGGGTTCAGGGGTACTTGTGCTCTAGGAGTTCTGGGCACCACCCATAAAGGCTCATAGAGGCTTTTCAACATTTAATCAAAACCCGACACATTCTGAAAAGTTACTTCAGGCCCCTATACAAGGGGCGTGAAGGCAACAGGACTCCCGGAACGTTCTGCAAGAAGCCATGCAACATTGTTAAGGCGACTAGGTATGGCTTAGGGTTTAGGGTTTTGGGTTCGCGTTTTAGGCCAATTGAAGTTGCATTGGTAGTTGCATTGGTGATCAGATGGCTCTGCACAGGCCTTTAAAGAAGGAGCTTCAGAAAGTGCACCAGCCATGCAGGCAACACAGATTCCAGCCACAGGCGACGCGAGCCTCGCCTCACATGCTGGAGACAACATCGCCGAGGTGGTGATCCGAATGAAGCCAGTCTCAGCAACAGTCCTGCGGGCTACGCGAGCATGCGATGCCCTCGACAACTTCGGTTGTGCCCTGCGCGGGTGTAGGACAATGCATCACCTGAGCTACCAGGCAGAAACCATCGGCATGTTTTGGAGTCACAGTTGGCATGGTGAGGCTTGGAGAAAGTGGATCACCCTTCTATTCTTCTACAATGGTCAAACTGCGGCTGCTATCGCATGCACTGGGTCCACTGTAGCCTCTATCCTTTTTGCCTTCGAGGTCTTGCCCGTGTTGATTGGGCCAGACAACTACTCCGAAAATGTGCCCGCGAGCATGTGGCAATCCTTCTGGGCAGCCCTGGTCGGCATGATTTTGTACTTGTCGGTGCTGGTATTTTGGAGACCCAGCGGATCCATCTTCCTAGACGTGATCTGCATCGATCAAACGAATAAACGCGGTAAAGCAGACGGATTGCTGAGCATAGGTGCTTTCCTCAAGTCATCACAGTCAATGCTGGTCTTGTGGGATGCCACGTACAGCAGTCGTTTGTGGACCATGTTTGAGATTGCTGGCTTCTTGAAGAGCCGTAAAGAGGGAGAGAGGCCTAGAATCGTCTTGCGGCCCACCATGCTGGGCCCATGCTACCTCCTACAGACACTGACGGTATTTCTCGTGTTTACCGTCCTTGACAATATCAGTGTGCACCTCTCAGCTGACACACAATGGGTGCTGTGGGTACTTTACGCGCCTGTTTGTTTTTGTGGCCTGTACATCAACACGGCCACTTTCAGGATATACTTTCGCTCTGTGAACGATTCCATGGATCGACTGGCTTGCTGGAGTCTTGCAGATGTCAGTTGCTTCTGCTGCAGTGATGGCCACAATCAGAGCCGTGGACTCTGTGACAGAGAGATCGTGCTCAAGTGCATCCGCACATGGTTCGGCAGCGTTGAAGAGTTCGAAAACCGTGTGCGGACGGAGCTCTTGGACACGTTTAGCTACGAGCAGTCCAGGCAACCCTTCACATACAGACAGGTCGCGACTGCTCTTGTGCCTGTGACTAGGTGGCACTTTGAGAAACTTTATGTTTTCCTTTATTATGGTTCCTATAGAGATACCTACTCATAAATGCTTTCGGAGGCCCCGAAACTACGGTTGATGATATAAATCCTGCATTACCCATACTAAGGAATATACCATCGTTCCCATAGTTCAGGGTCATGAAGGTAATGCAGGATTTGTATCATCAACCCTAAACCCTGAAACCCTATAGATCCCTTAAAGGAGCCCCTTAAAGGTAATGCAGGATTTGTATCATCAACCGTAGAACGCAGGTGGGAGTTAGGATTAGGGGGACCCTTGGGATATAGACCCTCTCAAGAAGGCCCCTTTTTAGAGAGCCAGAAGTAGGGTTTAGAAGGGGTACCCTTTAAGGGGTCTCCCTAATAATACTACCTAGCAGGTGATCTGGAGCTATCTTGACAGAGCCTCGGCCTGGGCCAGGTTCACAACATACGATGATCCTCGGACTCAGGCACATGGGTTTAGGGTTTAGGGTCTAGGTTTTAGGGTTTAGGGTTTAGGGTGTAGGGTTTAGGGTCTAGGGTTTAGGTTTTAGGGTTTAGGGTTTAGGGTTTAGGGTGTAGGGTTTAGGGTTTAGGGTTTAGGGTTTAGTCAATCTCAAAAGCCCCCCCATTTTCTTAATTGGGATCTACAAGCAGGTTCCGGATCTATAAGGTTTCGGGTTTAAAGGATCTATAAGGGATCTATAAGGGGTGGTTGTCAAAATTATGATCCCTTTTTGGGTCCCTAATATAGTACGGCACCTAATATCTAGGGTATCCGAAAAGGAACCAGAATTTTGACATCCACCCACATGGTTGCTGTCTTTAGGGCGCCCCCATGGGTATGGCTATCGGGTGCTGACTTCGTCTTTTGAGTGACGGTTTCTTTTGCAGATCTCCAAACATGTGCTCTTTGCCTGCTCTTTAAAGGGGAGTAGAACATATGCGCAATCATCCTGCTTTCTGGCCTTACGTTCTACCATACACCCTAAGCCCTACAAGTTGGCCCTAAGCTATGAAACCTATACCGCCCACGCAAATACTCAACCTTAAAACAGTACGACAGGCATCCAGAGAGGTCATCAGAGGACTGGCATGGTGGCTGGGTGTCGCGCCTGTGGCGTTTCTTGTCCAATGTCGACTCGCATGTTTGTTACAGAGGAAGTCGAATTGCGAGCCCTTGCTCAACTTGCTGCCGCTGCTAGCCTCCGTTTTGGTCATCTTCACCGCACTTTTGTGTGAGCAGCTGTTGTTTGAGCACCGGTTTGTTCGTGGCGATGGACATGTGGTCAACATGGCTCTGCTCGCCGCGGCTGTGCTGCCATTAGCATGGCTGCTTTACAGATATGTTGGTGCTGGCCCCGTGGTGAGAGCTCGGACACACAGTTGGAATGTATTGTGATTGCAGAACTGGTGGAGTCTTCGATAGTGTGCCGTAACACCCAGGCGTCCCAAAGGGATGCCGGTTTTTCAAGCCTATGCTGCTTGGGAGTCGAGTACACGTTCAACAAGGATGACTGAGGCCTTTCCATTGGTTGTCTATGTCATAATATTGGCTTTCTGGTCCTATAACCCCCAGCTATGCCTTAGGTCCTGTAATGCAAGTGCCGGAATAATTAGCCTTCCCTTGCTTCTAGTACAACATACACCAAAGCCTTATTCCAGTTATATATGAAGGCCCGCCGTGTAGTACACTCTCAACCCAACATCGGGGGGACTCAGAGGGTTAACTTGCTACCCATCAGACTCTGAAGACAACGCATACAAAGCCGCCTTAAACCCTAAACCCTAAACTCCTAAACCGTACCATCCAGAAGCCTAGCCTGAACCTCCTAACCCGAAAGTGCACTTGAAATCCCCAAACCAAAACCTTACGCAAGATCCCCTAAACCCTGAACCCTAACCCACGAAACCCTAAACCCCAAATGCAAGGTTAGCCTTGTTAAGGGTTTAGGGCAAAGGGGTTTGGGGTTTAGGGTTTAGGGAATTGTCCAAATATTGAACTCCCAGAACCTAGTTCCCCACATCTTTGTGTGGGGTTCTTGCTTTTGGCGCTCTCCCGCCTTCTCCTCCTCCTCCTCCTCCTTCTCCTTCCTCACTCTCACTCTCACTCTCAATCTCACCCTCACCCTCACTGTCACTCCCACTCCCACTCCCACTCCCACACTCACTCACTCATTCACTCATTCACTCATCGCTCACCCACTCACTCTCACGCAATCACTCTCACGCACTCACTCACTCACCCACTCACTCACTCGCCACTCACTTCACCCAGCTCTGTTGGATCGACCACTGTCCGGAAGACTGTAATCGCGACTTAACACCCTCTCCAGCGCGCTCTGTTGGAGGCGGCGCGCTTCGGGGCGCTCACTCGCTCACTCACTCACTGGCTTACTCCCTCACTCACTCACTCACTCACTCGTATTCAACTATACACTCTTTGCGAAAAGATGAAATACGCATGTGGGGTTATCCGGTCCTCTAGTTTGTGTAGGGCCCCTACAAGTTCTATGCCAGGGTTGATACTAAGAACCAAGAAACAAGGTACTTGGAGGATCATGGGACTTAGTAAGTAAGGTTATAAGTACCTTAATTGGGGTTATAAGTAGTTATAAGTGTAGTTACCCTAACTATAACCCTAGTGACTAAGTCCCATGGTCCTTTAAGTATTGGGACGGAACGCATCATCCTTGACCTTGGCTTGCTTTTGGGGTTCCTCCCCCTTCTACTTGCAGGTTCATGGGTAGACATAAAGGGTCCTTTAAGGGTCCCTTTAAAGGGAACTATGGGGATTCTACAAGGGTATAGGGTTTAGGGTTCATGGGTAGTTATAAGTAGGGTTAAAATTCTCCTAATATGAGTTATACGTATAGTTACCCCCACTTCAAACTACCCACGACCCTCCAAGTATGCAAAATTTTGGACGGAACACGCTATCCTCAAGGGGCACTTGGTCGGCCCTCAGGCTTCCGTCCCTGAACCCTGAACCCTAAGCCCCAAACCCTCCATCCAGGGTCGCGGCGCCCGTCATGGGCCTCACAAGGTCCGCATGCAAACGTGCGTTTCCATGTGACGGCAGCTTCACACGCCATAGCAACAGCGAGCAACACAGTTTCCGGATCCCTGTGAAACCAGAGTCAGAGAAGCAAAGAGCCCATACGCCCAAGAAGGTCGGCATTAGGGTGGCGCCTTGTCGGTGAGACACCCTCAACATCCCTAAGCCCTATACCCTAAGCCCTAAACTCTCAACACCAGAACGTGAAGCCCTAAACCCAAAAAACCCACGCTTCATTGGCCCTGTCCAAGGATCAGTCGGTGGTCTAACGAGGATCCGAAGCGCTGGCCTCCGATGACAGCATCTGGGGTTTAGGGTTTAGGGTTTAGGGTGGGTAGCACGGCATTCCTGAGGGCTTTTAGTTTTTTTGTTCTTTCGGGTTCAAGGTTTGCATCTGGGTGAGAGTATCTCGGGCTTGAGGGTTTTATGAGCATCTTGCTTTATAGGGTTTCATCAAAGGTTTAAGGGTTTCATAAGGCTCCGAGGGTTTTATAAGAGTCCTCGAGATGATGATCATCGCAAGTGTCTCCTACCTCTTTAAGGAACTTTACATAGAAGCCATAATAAGGAAGCTTAAGAAGGTCTATAGGTCGTTTCAGTAGACCCGAAAACTAAGTCCCTGAGCCATCAAGTTCAGAACTGGAGGCCTCGAAAGACGGACGAGAGTAAGATACCCCCTAGACTGGCCATGAACATTAACCGTAACGTATGGACATAGGGCCTCGGGTTCAGGCATTAAGTTGGGTGTGGGTCCGAGGCTTACCTATTTGGCAAGGTCGCAGCGAAAGGGGAGGGGAGGGGGTGCGAAAGCAAGCTTGCAAGCAAGTTTTGCACAGTTGCAATCCCAAAGATCATTTGACATATGCTCTCATACATGCCTCAGATCCAGTATCGTAACCGGGATCTTGGGTTGAATCGTGAGACTTTGGACAATATGCTGTTGTCTCGGTCACCGAGTTGGGGGAGGTAGAGGTCTTTAGCCGCTTTGGGCGTATCGTACTTGGAGTTTCATGGGTAATTTATACGTGGGGCTATACGTGGGGTAATTATAATTATGACCCATATTAGGGGACTTATAACCCCACTTATAACTGCCCACCAATCCAAGTAGAAGGGCACCCAGCACCTTTTTGAGGGCCTTCGAAAGGACCAGGGCACGGGGGATGCTGCGCGAAAATTTTGCAGAACGAGCTTCAAGAAGCAGTCTAGATCATCCGGGCGCCACCAGCCATGCAGTCAATGCAGATCCCGACCGCATTCGAAGAGAAGGTCGATTCTGAGCCGTCTAATGCCATCGCGGAAGTAATGGCCGAAGTCGTGGCAGGCATGAAGCCTGTCTCAGCAACCGTCCTCCGGGCTACAAGAGCGTGCGATGCCCTCGAAGGCTTTGGTTCTGCGCTTCGGGGGTCCAAGGCGTTGCATCACAGGAGCTACGAGACCCACACGATCAGCATGTTTTGGAGTCACAGTTGGCATGGTAAGGCATGGAGAAAGTGGATCACTCTTCTGCTCTTCTACAACGGTTGGGCTGCAACTGCCATCGCATGCATTGGGTCCACCGTAGCATCTGTTCTTTTTGCCTTGGAGGTCTTGCCTGTCCTGGGACCCGACAACTTCACTGAGTATGTCTCACAGGACATGTGGCAATCCTTCTGGGCAGCCCTGGTCGGCATGATTTTGTACTTGTCGGTGCTGGTGTTTTGGAGGCCCAGCGGATCCATCTTCCTAGATATGATCTGCATCGACCAAGTGAATAAACGCAACAAAGGTCAGGCGTTGCTGAGCATGGGAGCTTTCCTCAAGTCATCAGAGTCAATGCTGGTCTTGTGGGATGCCACGTACAGCGATCGTTTGTGGACCATGTTTGAGATTGCTGGCTTCTTGAAGAGCCGTAAAGAGGGAGAGACGCCCAGAATCGTCTTGCGGCCCACCATGCTGGGCCCATGCTACCTAGTGCAGACACTGACGCTGTTTCTCCTTCTCACACTTCTTGGCAATATCAGTATGCACATCTCAGGCGACGGCCAACAGGCGGTATGGACTCTTTATCTGCTTGTTGTTTTCGGTGTCCTCTACATCAATGCGGCTGGTTTCAGGATTTACTTTCGCTCTGTGAACGATTCCATGGATCGACTGGCTTGCTGGCGTCTTGCAGATGTCAGTTGCTTCTGCTGCAGTGACGGCCACAATCAGAGCCGTGGACTCTGTGACAGAGAGATCGTGCTCAAGTGCATCCGCACATGGTTCGGCAGCGTTGAAGAGTTCGAACACCGTGTGCGGACGGAGCTCTTGGACACGTTTAGCTACGAGCAGTCCAGGCAACCCTTCACATACGGACAGGTCGCCATTGCTCTTGTCCCATTTTTTTGGAGCTCCCTTGACAGAGCCTCTGTGTGGGCTCGCTTCGCACATGATCTGGACACATGGAGTGCGGCATCAGGAGACCTGGGTTCGGAGTATCATACTTGAATACTTTTTTTGGGTACCTCATCCTTAAAGGAACCATTATGAAATTAAATGTCTATACTTTTTTCTCCCTGGTTACTTCAAAGTCCAGGAGAAGTTGTAGCAGCAAGGGAGGTCATACGAGGCCTGGGATTGTGGTTGGGAGTCTGCCCCGTGGCGTTTCTCATCCAATGTCGACTCGCCTGTTGCTTGCAACGGAAGTGCCGATGGTCGATTTGTGAACACCTGCTCAACTCGTTGCCAGTCTTTGCTACTGGTTTGTTCTTCTCCGTGCATCTCCTTCTGGAGCAACTGTTGTTTTACCACCCGTTTATTGAGTATGATGGGCATGGACATCTACCCAGCACGATTCTGCTCACTGTGACGGTGCTGCCTTTAGCATGGTTGCTTTACAGATACGTTGGGGCAGGTCCGGTGGTGAGAGCACGGCGCACAATCGAAACGTGATGTGCGATGAGTGATAGTGGCATAGCGGGTGGAGTCTTCGGTACTCTTAAGGACATCCACACATCCCAAAAGGGAAGCTGGTGCGTTTTTCAAGTGCCTGCTTCCTAGAGCAGACGCTCCTGCGTATTCTGAAGATCAGTCACAGTGTCTTGTACAGCCCGGCTGTTGGTTTTGTCACAAGCGATCATTACGAAAGCCAGAGTAATAGCAGTAATCGTACGCTAGAGCTCAACCAAGACCCTTAGTAACCCTAAGCCCTGATCACCACTCCAGCATAAACCCCGTCACATCTCAGACTCCCAAGACCACCCCACGAGTACAAATGTGCACTTCGCACAGGGGGGAGGCGCGGAGCTGCGGCGGGAGCACGATTTCGGGATGCGGACAGGCACGCGACTTGTGGCGAGAAAACACGCGCATGCAGCAACCAGTGTAGGAGTCGAGAAAGTGGTAGTACTGTTCTAGTTATTTGGAGGCCCCTGCATGTGCGTCGCGCTGATAATACTGGAGCGACCTCGCGCGATTTAAGGCCAAGACGAGTGCTTCGCCGTGACGCCAGCGCGATTTCAACCCAACAAACGCCAAATTGCAAAATTCGGCAATTCAAAAATGTATGGAAATTACATAATTACAGTTTTCTGGGCCGCAAAACCCTATTCAAATTATTACGGCCCCTATATTTCAATGGTTTCGCCGAGGGCCGGGGCCCGATCGAGTCTCCGGAAAGAACGCGAGCTCTGTTCACGATGGCCATCATGATTCTTCTGATTATACCATCATGTGTACAAGAAAAGTTACCATGCAGTATATAATGGTCATTATTAATATGTCTTCGTGTTGTTAGATAGTAGATAGTAGTATTTTATCGTGAATCTACAGAATCATTACAAATGCCCGCTGCGCCGCCACAGCGAGGGTCATGGAGCAGCCACGTGTTCCTCACAGTAACTTACGCACCCAGACTGTGTTACCACACTGCATGTTGGGAAAAGAACACCAGAGACGATCCCGAGCCGAATTCCGGAGTCCACACTACGAGTTACTGTCGATGCAGACAGTTCTAACAGCGCAATGATTGCTGCACTAGATCCCGTGTCCCTGTGTGGAGTGTTTACTCTCCTTCATAGTGTTTACTCTCCTTCATCTTGACTGTAGCTCGTACAACTACATGATAAAGACTATGCATCATATACACAAGATACAACGCCGAAGCGGGAGCTGTAGTTTTAAAGCAGCCAAGAAAGACCCTTGAGACAAAAACCTGATATCATTCTTATAGCCGTAGAAGCCCTGGTAGCAGAAACCCAAAGCCTTTTCAAAACGTGAATGCGTTACAAAACATACTGCACGCGTGGCGGATCTGAACTGGGCCTACAACATCCTACAACCCTAAAACCCCCAGCCCCTTAACTCCTAAATTCCCTTGACTCCGAACCCCTAAACCCGAACCCTGACCGTCAACCCCTAACCGCTAGAGGTACTTATAACTTTATTTACTAAGTCCCATGATCCTTTAAGTACTGCAGAAGGGCAGGGGCTTTCAGAGCGTATTTGTTTGGGCTTTTTCTGGGGTTTGGGCTGTATTGTGTGGTGTTTGATGGGCTTTAGGGTTTTCTAGCACGGCAGGGGGGGGGGGGCTGATCCATGACTTGTTGTTGAACTTGCGCCATTTTTGCTACAGGGGGGGTTGGGGGGAGTTGATTTGAAGCTTAGGCATCGGCGCTCAAAGGTAACACTTGGGTCTTGTAGACATCGCCCCGGCCGTGGCAGCTCTTCCTCGGAAGATGGGGCAGCTCGGAGAGCGAAGATGTAGGGCATCGAAACCTACGTATACACCCTATACCTACACCCGAAGCCTTGAACCAAAGCCTTGAACTGTAGGCCCTAAACCCGAAACCTTAAGAAGCCGTAAGTCTAGGCTCAGGGCAGTGAGAGTATGCCGCAGCTCTTTCAGGGCGTATCCCCACCCACGATGCCAGTAGCAAGAGTGGATTCTGCTGCTTACCCTAAACCCTCAACGCTTGCAGGACACTTCTTAACAGTACCCTGAACCTAAACCCCATAAACCCTAAACCCTAAACCTAAACCCCCAGCTTAAAGCCCTGAGCCCCAAGCTAGACCCGTAACCCCCTGAAACCTTTCCCGGACAGACAGAGTCCATGATGCCGCAGGGCGCAATTCGAAGCTCCGAGAGTAGTGGCATGTTAGAATAAGGCAGTTTCCGAAAAGAGGGGACCCCAATATGGTACCCAAGATGTAGGATCCTCATTTTACGGACCTCAGAATAAGGCATCCTGTATTTTCGGAAACTCCCACAGAGGAAAGAAACTTGGAGCCAGTTGGAGCCTGGATTTGTTTCAACATCAGACTAGGGCTTCGGGTTTAGGGTTTAGGGGTGTTTAGGGTTTTTAGGCTTTTTAGGCTTTTTCGGCTTTTTAGGGTTTTTAGGGCTTTTAGGGTTTTCAGGGTTAAGGGTTTAGGAGTTTGGGGTTTCGGAGTTTAGGGTTTAGGGGTTTGTTTAGGTTTCGGGGTTTAAAGTCTTGGCCTCTGGCGGTTCAAAGATCCACAGTACAGGGGCCGGGACAGCCCGTAGTTCCGACAGAAGATCGCCATAGCGGGCTTTTGTTCGGGAGCTGTGTTCAAGTCATCGCCCTAAACCCTTAACCCTAGGCCGTATCGCAATCTCGCATGCGATTCACCATGTGTCCTTACTGGTGGCTGAGATTGAGCCTCCTTAGCCTTGAAGAAACCATGCTCAGCCACTGCAAACAAGCTTATAAAGTCGTGTACATTACGTAAGCCCTAAACCCTAAACCCTAAACCTTTAAACCCCTAAACCCCTAAACCCTAAACCCTAAACCCTTAAACCCCTAAACCCCTAAACCCTAAACCCTAAACCCTTAAACCCCTAAAACCCTTTATAAAGGTTCCCTAGGCCCTGAGCCGGACATCCTACACCCCACATTTTGCTCATCTTGGCCCTAAGCCTTACAGCCCGGACTTAGAAGTTTGAGATCCTGAACAAGAGTCCAGTGCCTTGCGAAGTTTCTGGGCTTAAAAGCTTATTGCACTGTGGGATTTTCCGCCTGGGTGACTTGTCTGAATCCTAAACCCTAAACCCTAAACCTTAAACCCTAAACCCTAAGCCCTAAATCCTGAATCCTAAACCCTAAACCCTAAATCTTAAACCCTAAACCCTAAGCCTTAAATCCTAAATCCTAAACCCTAAATCCTAACCTAAACCCTAAACCTTGGTGGTCGGCGGGGTCAGGCTTAGGGTCTAGTGTAGGGGCCTGAACATTTACTGACACTATTTCCTAGGGTTCCGTATTGTATTTATACTATATCGTACCCCAATACCTTATTATGCGTATTGAGGCCCGCCGCATCGGACTAAAAAGAATAATGTGCAACATGTGCAAAGATAGACAAGCGACGCAGGCATCGCCCCTCCGTGATTACATCCAGCCACTTTTTCTTCTGAAGTGTCCCCACGCTGTCGGAGCACCACGCGGTACGGATTGCATCAAGTGAAGAACAGGAGTTCAGATTGGGTACTGGCCCCACTCAGGAACAGTTGGATAATATTCATAATATAGATACATATATACATATAAAAGGCCCTTAATAGTAGCCCTATTATAGGCTGTTACTGTAAGGGGCCCATATCCAAAGTTCAGACACAGAAGTCTCGAAGCAGAAGGATCCAGCTAACTTATTCTAACGACCCGGTGCTGCACCTACTGCTACCACTACTGCTACCCCCCACCACGACGACGACTACCGCTACGACTACTACGACGACGACTACCGGCACCACGACGACTGCTACTGCTACTGCTACTGCTCCTGCTACTGCTACTGCTGCTGCTGTTGCTGAAGGGAACATCGAGGCAACGACAACCTTATCATCCATACTAGTTGTGAATTCTGAAAAAACAGAAGGTCAACGATCTCATTGCTTGCATCCGTTGCCAAAGTGAGCCTCCGATGGAAGAGGAACTTCTCCTAGTGCTGGTGATGGCCACTCCGCCCAGTGGGTTTTACAGGGTTGAGGGTCTCCGACTTTGGGCTTAAGGCTTAGGGTATCAGGGTTTAGGGCTTTAGGCTTAGGGTATCAGGGTTTAGGGCCATCTGTGTTTTTAGTTTTGTTTTTTCTGGCTTAGGCTTAACAAACTCAACATCTAAATGCAAAGTTCTGGATGTTAGGGTCATGTTTCATGGGTGGGTCATGATACATACCTTTTTTCATCAACCTGCTCTGATGTTTGTAACATGCTCATGTTGCAAACTTGGGCCCTATTCCTACTGGGGCCCTCGCGGAAGATCATGCTCTTGCAACTGTTTGCTATCCATCTTCGAGTCACGGGTTTAGCCTGAAAACGACAGCAGAGTTAAACAAACGTGCAAGGTACTTGGAGGTTCATGGGTAGTTATAAGTAGGGTTACAAGTCCCCTACTAGGAGTCATAAGTATAGTTACCCTACTTCTAACCGCACTTCGAACTACCCATGAACTTCCAAGCAAGGTAGCCACTTTCAGCGGTTGCACAGCTAGCTCTGGCGGGCACCCCAAGGCCTAGAATCCCCGTCAACACCCCGACCCTTGTGAATTGCTCAAATCTCATCTGTTCTAAACCTCAAACTCTAAGCACTAAAGTCTGAACACAAAAACCCGAAGCTCTTTGCGGGCCCTAAACCGAGTGCTATAAGCCTTTACTAAACTCCACAGCCCTCAACCCTGGGGTGGCCTAGTAGCGAGACGAAAAAGGATCGATCGTCAAAGAGATTGCATGGGGTTGTTTGTGATTGATGTTTTGGCTCGATTTCTAGTTGCGGGTTGAGGTGCTGGGGTTTGAGGTTTCAGAATTGCGCTTTGGGGTTTAATGTGGCTTCAGGGTTCTAAACCCTACGTGGAGGTTCATGGGTAGTTACAAGTGGGGTTATGAGTAGGGTAACAAAACTTAAAGCTCATACTAGGGGACGTCTAACCCGACTTAT